TCCAGCTTGCGCGAGCCATTATATCGTGCTTTCGAAGGGAAAATTTTTTTTCGCACTCTACAGAAACAATGAAAATCCCGGGGGTGAAATATCAATCGATAAATTACGAGTTACCCAGTACAAAAGGTAAACATTTGAAAATTTATTTTTGCGAAATGTTTCTGTCAGAACGAGTGACAAATAAATAATACGGTTATAATGAAATAACGATAATCTCAAAATCAATATCAATAATTCCAGCAACGTATTGTGAAAATTTATGCGTTGCGAGTTGGGAAAGTTTTGATCACTCCTTCCCGTGTTTTCGTTACATTTTTCATTCGCGATTTACGGCTTATCAACGACTAGAAAATTAATAAACGCGATCAAATTTCGAAACGAATTTATGCCAACGCGCACCTGTATGTACATGATTCGAAAAATATTACTATTTCTTAAGAAGTAATCCATTGTAATAAAGAAAATTCACTTTACACTGTATATCAATAAATGTACTTCTGGGAACGTGAACAACCTTAATATATAAAAAAATGTAATCTATGGAAAATAAATTAAAAATATATCGCCATCCCCTAACTCGAAGATTCAAGTTCCAAAAATGCTTTTAGCAACGCGCAATGTCAAAGTTTGAAATCTCCAGCTGCTCGATATTCAAGAATTCCAATAATTCGATGCCCTTAAAGTGCTGACTCGACTCAAACAGGTTTATTTCATGGAAATTATAGAACGTTCTATCCACGATCTCATATTCAAGGCGAGGACATGAGTTTGACAATGAGAACCCTTTACGTGGTTCCTTGAATTTTGCATACGCCCCAAATAAGGGCTGGTGTATGGGCCACGAAGGCACGCAATGCGGGAACGTCGCATATCTCCTAAACCTCAAACCCAGCTCGTAATCTCCTGGTTCAAATCCGTCCAAAATCTGGCGTCCATTACAGCGCACGATACCGGAGAATCTCCTCATCAAGATACTAATTAGAATTTCTAGTCGTCTTGGAATGCATACGATCCCTCGCACGAAAGCGTTGCAATCGATGACTGTTAGGGAATCGTTTTGATATTTACATGCACTGTTTACTATTTACGTGATTCTCGAAAACATCGAAACAGTCGTGACAACGGAGTGGCGAATACCCAACACGATTCACGACACCGGATAAATAGTCTCGAGGACTTGTGCGCCGGCTGTCAAGTGGTCGATGTCCGGGTGAACTCATCTCGAAGAACGGGAGACCGGTTTGTCTGCAGGAAATGCAACGGGGTCAGCTGAACAAAAAAGGGAAATCGCGACACTCGACGGCTTTACAACGGCCGAGACGAGACAAGTAGCAGGTGGCTAATACCGGGAGTGGCGTGGAACGGGGTAGAATGCGATGAAGAGGATGCCTACGTGTGTACACAGGCTTGCTTACGGACGGGTGAACGAGCTAGATAACGCACGTCTTCTCGCGCCCCCGACAATACGGCCATGCGACTGGCTCTTTTAATTAAGTGGAGTCAGCTCGATTGCCTGCCACCCCAGACTCCGACGATGCCACCCCCGCGGGGGTAGTGGCTAGTAAAAATTTACTCAGCGGGAATTATATTGGTTCGTCCACGGGTGACACGAACGTATAGACGACACAGGGAGTTTCGAACTGTCTCAGTTGGAAAGCTTAGCAACAAATACGACTACTGGAAACTGTATTTGCATTCGATAATTAAAAAAGATTAGAGACCGGAATATTTATATGTTCTTAAAAGCAAAATTAATATATTTTTTTTAATTAAGAAAGCAGCAAGAGAAATCTGAAACCAAGAATGGATCAATGTGTCACCAACGAACCTAGGCCAAATCCGAAAATCAACCAGCGATACAGTTCCAAATAGAAGACTGAAGTTTGAGAACATCTCGTCTCTAATGAACGACCTCCTAATACAAATCGCCAAAATTTTTAATGAAATCAGTAAACGTGCACCAAAAAGCTCCTACTAAAATCGAGTTCCCATAGCCTTTTAGAACGTGTCTCTAGTTGTACATTTTCTTATCCACAGTCAAGCGTCCGAATAGTGCGAAATTAAAAAGTCATCATTCGCGAAGCTTGAAGTTCACTACATTAACATGCAATTTTGCGAATGAACTTCGTTTCGTTCAATTTCACAACAGCTCACACCAAACCAGACTCATCTCTACTTTTCTTCGTCTTCGCGCTTCGTTAAATACCAATTTCCCAAGAAACGCGTTTTCCGTGTATTTACATATTCTTGCGACGTTCTCCGCCACCCCTGGCGTTCTCCTTTCCCGCGTTCAATGGAACAGTAGGGGATAGGAATTCGTTCGCCGGGTATTTTCCGTTTTCTTCTGGTCTTTGTGTTCGCATGTTTCGTCGACGCTCTCCACGTCGCGGCGTTTCAACATTGTTCACCACGCTAACGTCGGTAATTAATTTTTCCCCGGGACAAAGTGGATCCGTCTTGAAGCACGCGTCCTCGTTACGACGCGTCCCCGCGCAGAAAGGAATGGCCTTTTCGGTGGTAGCCAACGGAACAGCAAGCCGCGCGGATGACAACAAATATAAAACTTTAATAATTCCCTGCCGCAGCCGGACCGGAATTTACGAGCAAGATGGACATTCCTCTTTAAAACGAAGTGGCAGGTACGTTTCCTTCGCTTTGAACAATTTTTCCTCCGCGCGCCACGGAAATACGGGATATGGTCTACCGGAAACAGGCCACCTTAATATCGTCTGTTGGTTTGATGTTGGGGGAAAAAAATGTAATAAAGAATGGACGGCTTCAAGGGGCCAATATGACACAGCGTAGAGCTTTTTAAGATCACTTTGATTCAAAGTGTAGCGTATGTTTTATTTCGTACCGCGGATAAAAGGGGTCTAATCGCACGAATACAACGTTTTGCGTCTATTTTTCAATTATTTTCTTGTTGGGCGTAGGAGTGAATCTTTGGTTTAAAAATCATAAAAAACTGGTACATCGAGGAAGACTTTCTGGGATTTAGGAATAAACTTGAACTTGTCTCATCTGTCGACAGAACATCATGCTTTACCGACCAAGTATTCTACTTTAGAGAATGTCGTCGACAGAGAGCTCTACCTTGCCGAGTTTTAAAGACAAGTTGGTACATCCTGCCGACAGGGTAATTCGGTTATCTTTCCCAGACCCTTGTCGTAACATTAACGTAATAGAAGATGTCGAAGTCGCCTTTTACTTAACTCGCATCGAAACAACGATAGCAAGGACTCTTTGAACGTCTAGGAACAATTTCTCTCGCGATAGTTTGTTATTAAAACGTTGCACCTAGAGAATATTCACGTTAGCGAGTCTTGCAGCTATTTATCGAGGATTCCTTTTGGTCCTCGCTTCACCGATCGATGCGCAATTCCAGATGCCCGTTTACCTGCTTCAAGGAAAATATTTGACCAGCTCTCCTACCTCTCACACTTGGCTTCCTATGGCTCGCATCCAGCCTCGGCACGCCTAACACGGCTAAGACATTTTCCATGATTGCTCAAAAGCCTTTTCGTCAAGCGGCTTGGAAACGGAGGGCAAATAGGTGGCTACCGTTAAAGCGATATTGAACATCGTTTCGGCAGATGCAGTGTACATTCTATGCACTATCACTACGTGTAATTTAATCTACTTCAGAATGATTCACTCGTGATGATGAAATGGAGCCTTTAACTGAGCTTAGACAGCAAATAATTTGCGTTATTTACTTCGCAATGGATACTAAGCAAGTAATATTATTATATAAATATAAACTGGGTCATAAAGCTGTAACTATGACTCGTAATATCAACGATGCATTTGAAGAAGATGCGTTGGTCCAAAGAATTTCGAAGTGGAGATGAGAGCCTCGAAGATGAAAATGGTCGCGGATGCCTTTCTCTCGTTGACAACGACCAATCGAAAGCACTGGTTGAAGCTGATCCACGAACAACGGTTCGACAACTGGCACAGGAATTTAGTGTAAGCCATCTAACAGTTATCGACCACCTGGGACAGCTAGGAAGGTAAAAAAAGCTCGAAAAATGGCTGCCGCATGAGTTAAGCGTAGACCGAAAACGGACATTATTTTCCTATCGACCTAAAATAAATATTAAATGCGCGATTCAACCACGAGGTACCTGGAATCGAACATTCCCTCTTCTCGTTCGGTTTCGACGAAGTACTGTCTTCTGCAAATGAATGCACCCTGGCAACAGTATATTAGGTACAAAATGGATCCCGATGAGAGTCGTGGTCGTCGTCGCGGCAGGGAGAAAAATCGTTATCTTGAAGAGGGGGGAGCAAGGTCGTCGCCATTTACCAAATTGGCGGCGTCGAGTTAAAGCATTACCCGCTGGTAACGAGGTGGCATTCAATGCTTCGTCCTCCCGACCGCGAACGGTTTCCTTGTTACGAATCGAGCGAAACACTGGTTCTCCCGTTACTAACAATTTCCTCGAGAATGACTGCGGAGGGGACACCGACGCGAGAAACGCTGCAACTTTGCGACGCAGTCGCGACGAGCTGAGTGAAATAAATGCGTTCGAGGTTTTGAAACGACACCGCGGTAATGTCAGCACCGCGAACGAAGGTAATTCGAAAGTTTTAAACGATGGATTCACCCTGGCTGATTGCATTTACGGAAAATTCTGCGGCCCTTTCGCTCGCTTTTTATTTAGGCTACGTTTACATTATAATCCTGTTTAAACCACGGGGACTATCTTTGTTTCGAACGAATGAAAGTGGAAAATTTATTAAAGATCTTGAATAGGGCTGGTATTGGTCACGATTATGGGGGACACGAATGGCAACTGGCCAGAGAAGAGGTCAGCATTGCGATTGCAAGTGTTAACTAAGAGGAAAACTCTTGAGGAAGAGGAAGGGAAGAATACCGTATGTAAAAAGAAAAAATGTGAGGACAATTGTTAACTTCAGGTAAGCCAGAGAATTATATATTCACGTAGCTGAAAGGTGTAAGATATATCTCTGGTGTTAAAAATCATTTACACTACCTTCAGATCGCCGTGTTGATCGTAGAACGTAGACGGTGCGAGGGCAGCCTTGAGTCTTCGATTCCTGTAGAAAATAAACATGATCGCGGCCAGTAGCATCACGATCACAGTAGTCAGGATCCCGATGACCAGGCCGACGAATTGCTTGGACTCTGGCTCCTTGCTTTTCTCTGGAACTGACACGTGCACACGAATCTGAGTATCTTTTCATCGATCTATAATGAGTAATTAGTATAACGGGTAGGTTCAATGCTTCGTGGATATGATATGCTACATGCAACATACAGTCAATCCCATAAATATACATATCCTCTATGTCTATTGAAGAAATTTGACCTACCATTTAATTTCAACAAATTTCTTCAATAGATATAGAGGGTACGTTCACATCGCGCTAACGATATCACACTTTAAATTATTAATAGAAAAGCACTCCTAACTCCTCAAATCAACAATCTTGTTTGAATTGCATCACCTTAGAAATACATCTGTCTGTGGTATGTTTGACCAATGTTTATGTTTTCCTTGGTTAGCCCAAACCCAATTCTCCCATTAAAGGCTCCAATATCGTCCAATTAGTAGGAGCGTCGATGAGTTAAATGTCGTACACGTTCGATTTCGAGGTGCGCTTTGGAGACCAGTGCGAACGTTTGAACATGTTCCATGGGACGCACGCGTGCACAACTCTGTCGTCTGCAGACTGGCCACCGAATACACTAATGTACACGACCTATCACGGTGGATATTATCGCGAAGGGAGCCTCGCACAATGCACGACGAAGCGATAATGAAGATTACGTTCATCATGCTCGTCGTAATTGGATCACGGTCGATCGGCACTTTATCGATTCGTTGCTTTCACTGGAAGACGGTTATCCATCATTTCATTGTCTCTCGACGAATATAGCGACGCACGGAACCGCCAGGTGATAAAGAAACATTTGTGCGTTATTCCACGTCGAATTGATCGCCTTTCGACCTGGATGCCAGGACTTTTGGCGAAATTCAAATGCGACGTGGTCCATGCAAAATCAGATGGGGTTTTAATCATCATTTTGCTGGTATCGGATTTGCATAAAAATTAGAGGATGGTAAATTTGAGAATTTTTAGATTTGGCAGTATTAATTAAAAAGAATTGATACTTTCTTCGTTTCTTCGAGAAGAATGGACCTCTCGAAATAAAGTTTGTTTTAGGCTAAATCACCAAATTGAGACTCCTGCGTCTATCACTGTCCAGTTTCAAAACAAATTCAACACCAGAAGAGAATCTTCTCTAATTTTACTCGGGCCACGTTCTATTTCAATGACAGAAAAGTCCTTGAAATTATGACTGGGTCTATCATGGAATGATCCTCGCAGAAAATTACTTTCACATTTAACCAATGACGTTACCGTTTCGCTCGATCGCGTTTGAACGAACGACGTTTTATCGACGATCACGATACCTTCCTTCCTGAAAGAAATTTTCGTGCAATTTCGAGCAGCTTCGCGCTCCGCTTGAGATTGCCACGAGGCGGCCTCATTCCGTTTCTCTTCTAATGTCACGTCGTTGCGCTCCGCGCGAATACACTTCGAACCGACGCGCGAGGGAAAACACAGAGAGTGTTACGCCCCGTAACGGTTTCTGCTCGGGTTCTTCTATTCCCTTTTCGCTGGCTGAAGATTATTACGCAGGAAACGGAATATTGGTTCTGCCGCGTGAAAGACCAAATGTAACGAGCGTTTCGTCGTGACGGAACACGCGAATCTATAATTCTCCTTTTTGACGATTTACGTGTAATAGCACGTTTTAACAGGGTCTCGCGAATACCAAATAAAGTGTCAAAGCGTTTGTTATTGAAATGAATGAAGAGCCTTATGTGTGTAGACAGAGAAACTAATATGAGATTAAATAAGCTTTTTTTAGTTTTGTGACATTTTCAGTAGGCCCACAGATGTGTCACTAAATTAAGTATGTAAAAGATGTAATTTATTCTCGACGAAGAATTGCAAGGCAGAAGCACTAACCAAGAAAAGTACAGAGCAGAACAAGCGAACAGAAGAGTGGAGTTCAATTTACATTCAAATCTCCATCGAAATTGTAACAGATAAACACTTGTTTATCTTATTTCCGTTATTCGAAATTTCGCATCCAGGTCATAGTTTTGCACAGAAGGATTTGCGAGGCAAAGTAGCAGAAAAGTTTCCTACGGCGAGAGGCAAGAATTGAACTGCTTTCAAGGAGGACGACGAAGGTATATTTGTAGTGCAACTCCAGGAAGTTCTCGAAGAGTCGAGTAACCCGATTCTTCGCACAAAAAATCCGCGTAATTTGATCTATTTACTTTTATGGAAAGTAAAACGAATCGCCAGGGTCGGGTCATAACGATCGATTAAGCTTAATATCGTCGGGGGAGCCTCAAAGGAGGAGTACTGGATAACAATTGGACGGTTTACCGAGCAAAACGAGCACGCGGAAATGTCGGCCAGTACTTTGGCTTTACTTCCTCCTAACACTTCGGTTCAAAGCAAAGTGCTCTCAGGAGGACAACGCCGAGAGGAAAGAAATTAATTAGATTTTACTCTCTTCGCAACGAAAATAAAACAGAAGGAAGGGCACGGCTACGTTATCGGTTTATGGACTCCGCGAGGAGTCGATGGACTCCAATCGTCGCTCGATTCCGCTTCGTTTCTTTGACCAACGACCGAGAATTTTCGAGAACGACCGGGAGACATTGCGGTGCATTAAAAGAAACGAAAAAAAAGAAACAGGGCTGGCTACGTTTGAAGTATAAACACATTTCCACGTAATTAATCCTAAACTGGAAATCCTTATTGTTTCGTCCTTGGTTACTTCGAAAGTATGAAGTTGTCGTGGATATCATAGTACCAACGACAACTCCCTCAAAGCATTAAAAAAAAAATGGACTAATTGAAAAAGTTGGATATTAATCGTCGCGACACGTTCCGTTTAAAAACCAGTTGCGACAAAGGTGTTCAGAATCAAATTTTGCTCTAAAATCTCGTTACACTCACTCTTTCGCTCCATTGTGCCCAATTGACGCTGCGAAAGTGAACGGCGCCGGCGAGCAACGAGGGGGGAAAAATGCAGTTCGTGATCGGCATTCAATTTTCGTGCAGCTACGAAACGCCAAAAAAGAGCGGGACCAACGAAAAAAGAAAGGGAATAAAGAAAAGCGGAAATCGTGCGGAAAATTACGAAGGGAACCCTTCGACGCGACAATACTAGAAACCAGACGGGGAAGACTTACGGGCATTATCGTTGTTTTCCTCCTTATTAAAAGTGGCCTTCACTTCGTCTCTCTGCAATGGACCCTCGTTATTCTGATAGGGGCTGCCAGTCGCCGATACAATGGCACTCTTGTTCCTCGGCTCTTCATCGTCGGTGTTGTTCCATTCGGAGATTACTGCGCATCAGGGATGAGGACTAATGAAATTTGCGGCCACCAAAGGAATTGGACGGTGGGGCACCCTTTCAACCCCTATTGCATAGCGGTGCTCGATCGGGTGCTCGATAAAAACAATTTCTATGTATACATATGAGTTTAAGATATGCTTGTACCAAAATTGACGATGTATTAGGTCGTCCAATAAGTTCATGCCACTTATTCTTCCGCTACTCAAATTAATATATGAAACATACCCTTAAGGGTTATAAGAAAAAGTAATCTATGTCATTTTACAATATTTTACTTATGGGATGATCTAACAGTTCGAACTCGTAGACATTCGAGCATTTATTACATGTTTTTAACCAAAACGTGGATCTTTCTCGGCAACAGAGATGTATAATAGAGAAAATGAACTTTTTTTAATTTTATTTTCAAAACTGTATTTACGTAGTGCTCCGTCTAATTCTGCATTTCATATTAAAAATTGTCCTCGTTTGCAGTCAAGAATAAGACTTCAATAAAAATATTGATTAGAGGAACCTTTCACTCCTCCATATCTTATGGTTAACAGATTTAATGTTTCGGGAGGCCCTATCGTAAGGAACTGTTTACGGAGTTAATGGTTTTCCATAAAGTAGTTATTTGAACGAAAACTAAGAAAAACAAAAAACGAAGTAAAGCAGATGCAATATTCAGCATTCGTTTTATTATTTTTTAATAATTCCCTACAAAAGAACCCATTAATTTTCTTTTTTATTTACAGGACCTGGTTAATCTTAAATTAAAATACTCGTCGAACCACGCTTTTACCTTCCATACCGGAAGTTATAATAAATAATGTATATTTCATTGGAGAACTCGAAAGAAAATTTCTCCAGACTTTAATAGCGCTAGTTATTTAATTAAAACGTTCCACTTGTAAGCAATAGCTAATGGAATTAATGGTTTCCGATAAGGCTAGACGATATTTAATCGGAAAACTGGGGAAAACAAAAACCAAGAGTGTTCCATCGTGGACCAACTAGCGAAACAAAGGAGGATATTTCGTTCGGTTAATTAGAAGTAAATCAGGTCACGGAAGTTTAAGGATCACCACAATGTTAATAAAACTCAAAGTCGAAGTTTCCGTTCAAACACGATGGCGATATCAGAAGCGTTCCGCGAGCCAGCCCAAGGTAGCAATTTCGCAATGTAAAATACTCGTATTTCAAACTTCCACCTCATCGCGATAAATTGGCCGGCGTTTGCCAAGGTCTACCCAGTCCTAGTCGAAGTACACACATCGAAGCGAACATTTAATTTACGGTCAGTTCGGCGAGGGAGCGAGCCGCCAGTTTGAGAATTGTTAATTGCGCCACGGTTGCCTGTTAAGAGTGGACATTAATTACGAGGCACGAAATTGCTGTCAACGATTTTCTTCGCGAGACAACTTCCTTCCCCTGGGGGAAGATGCGACTGATATACAGGGTGCCTCGATAGCTATCTATATTGTCACTTGAATTTCATTTTCCCCAATTTTTAGACCCTTAGAGTTAATCGATAAATGCTCTTTTTAACAATGCCTGCACTAAGTAGGAAAAATTAAAATAATTACTCAAAATTTTATTTCCTTATTCCCAAAGGTATAGAGGGTACAAGCATAAAGTTCCAAATTGATCGACTGAACCGTTCGTTCGAGAAGAAATCCTAACGAGACTGTGATTTTTCGGACTCCATAGATTAAAGTCCCCTAACGCTGGTGGTTGGGGACCGCGAGCCATCGTCGAATGATTTACGACGGTTTCGGTCTCTTGGCCGATCCAACGAACCGGTGCCGAACTTTTCCAGGGCGTCTCGCTTCGAGTGGCAGCGAAGTAAGTTTCGTTTCGGCTCGTTTGACGGGGATCGCTGAAACGTGTGCGTGACTGATCCGTTACCGGGGACTCTGCGATACTCGCGTAATCTGTAACGGTTAGGCGTGTGTTTCGCGATGGTGGATCCATCGGACCAAGTCATAAGTAATTACATTGTTGGGTGACCAGCCTTCTGTTTCAGTCAGCTGTTAGCGATCGCAACTGAGGAAAATTGTGGAGAATATTGAACAAAAGTTATCTTGTAACGACAGAAATCAAAATTATATAATAGTTAAAGAAGGTATAAAAAAAATATGAAAACATGTACCAGTAGATTCGAATCTCCAATCGTGAGTGTGTAAATATATCCGAGGAACAATTTCTTCGTGGAAAGATGAAATAAAAATATTTTTAAATTACTGCAAATACTATAATTTAAGAAAATGTCGAATGTGATTCGATCCATGCACCCTCCCTCTATACATGCCACCACAGTGAACGTGTTAACGAAGGTCCTTGTTATCCGAACACGTTTTCCAACTGACTTGATTTTCTCGCGTACAAGATCGTTAAAGATCATCGTGTCGACGAAAAAAAAAATGAGGAAACGCCTGGACAGGGAATTAAATATAAATCTGGCTGAGCGATTCGTGCCACGTCTTGGTAAAAAACGAACGCGAATTATTTGGGAAAGGAATGGCGTGGAATTCCGTGCCACTTCGAGGCTAAGCAATCGAAGTTATCTTTCGTTGGAACGAGAAAACACCAGTGCACTGAGAGAATGATTAACGATGGTTTCGCTCTTTCGGCGTGCGCAAGCTCGTGCCGACTTCGTCGAACGAAACTTTCAGAGAGTGTGCTTCGCGAGTAAGTAAGTTTCGTTTCTGGCCCGCGACCACGTGCTCTCATTCGTGCAACGTGCCGCGGATACTTCCACTTTTTGCTCGGCTACGATGGTTTAAAGTCGACCGTGCAACATCGCCGGAATAACCGCTGAAACTGCCTCTGAAGAACTTACCAGTCGCGAATATCTTTCCATTAAGGTAAATTTACAGAGGATTGTTAAGTGATCAGACTTTATAAATAGACCTCGAGTTGGTTTGGCCAGGTATTTTTCAATTATATAGAAACAATATTTTAACCTCGTAGAAATTGTGACGATTATTATATCTGTCGTAACGTTAAATAGAGGATGAAAGGTTTAATTTTTAATTGTAGAGTGTGCCTGGCGGAATTCCACGGATGCAAATATCTTGCATCTAGAAATATCAATAATTGTGTGACACAGCTATCATCTGTTCGTATCAGATAATTTTCTCGTCCCACAAAGTATTAACGCGCGTAGATAAGTATCCCATCGACTTATCCGCGAAAAGCCGCGTGCGAGGAATTCATTGTCCCATTATGGCAAAACCGTCACGATCTGACGTATCATCGCGGAGGTGTCTGATTATCCCACATCATTTCCAATAATTCTATCGTTCCCGCGGGCGGAGCGACGGGACCGTGTCACCTAAAATTGGAAATCGACTCTGTTCGGGATATCGAAGAAGAGGGACTTCGAAACTCATCCGTTCCCTGATCCCGAGTTCACCAGATGCGTTAAACTCTTCGGGCCTGAACAAGATGCCGTAGCAGCCTCAAGATCCGTGAGAAGTTATTTCGTTCGAGATATCTCGGCACCGACCCCCTTTTCTCTGTCTCGCGTTCACTCCTTTTGCTGTCCAAAAACGTCGAACAAATAAATAAACCGGGTATGGTTTATTTGGGATAGTTGCGAAATAATTAATTTCTCATTAAAAAGGTTCATGTCTGCTGAGGGCTGCAATAAGTACACGCGAGATAAGATTGTCCCTAGGGGTACCGTAATACAATAAGTAGGAGCTTTGTAATTAATTACCTCTTCTCGCTTGAGAGGTGCTCGAAAACACATTATAAAGTGCAGGCAAACTTCTTTAATAAGCACTGAATTCGCAGTATCATGCTCACGCACGGTGTACGACACGGAAACTAATATAACTAATTACTAATTCTCGGAATAATTGTTCTACACCTCCACGGAATAATTCTCATTGCATTAAACACAATTTTGTTAAATTCTATTATGGATTAACGTTAACTTTGAACGTTTTATTATCAGGCTAGGTGTGGTTACCGAGAAAGACCCAAACAGGACGTCGAATCGTTTAATCTACTTTGCACCCACATTTACATAACATACCTAACTTATTTCCAATTCACAGGACACTCCCACAGCGTGACTGTTTAACACTAAACCTACCGAGGTTTCATTTTTACCTATATATACTGCGACGAAACAAAGGACTAGTCTTAAAAACACTTTTTTTCAATTGAATGCAAAAATATTTCACGTGGTACTGAATTGAGTAATGCAGGAAACAATTGTACATTATTTATATATTCTATATAAGAACTGTATACAAAAGTTTGAAAACCATCATTTGACCAGTTGTGGTAGGTTTAGTGTCAATTTGCCCCTGCAGATCGAACTAAGCTGCGATTTCATAAACTTACCAATCGAATAATTTGATTTATTCAATTTCTCCCATAACTTTCGAATGAATTAGTGTAGAATCTACGTCTATACTCACTTCCCCTTTTCTCACGTGGGATGTGATTTATTTTATCGAGCTCCTGCGCGGTTTTCCTTACCCGATTCGAAGATAATCTCGCTGAGCATGATCCACCTCGCCGCGAAATACAGCTGCAGTTTCAGGAAGCGACCTGCACGTGAGTGAAGCTTTATGGTAACATCACGTGCCTGCTCCAACACCAGATCCGGTATGTAGGAGAACTGGACCGGCTCTCCGTTGAACTGGTTTCCACCCGCGCCAAGATAAACCTTCGCGTAAGAAAAGACCTGCGGAGAAATGGCGGGTGTGTATACACTGTGCACATCAGGGATGAAGCGATTGGTGGACGGGTAAACAGGGAGGAAATCGTTGAACGTGATGGAAACGCTTCTTCCTCTTCTTCTTCGTCGGTTATGACTGGCGTGTTCGTGGCTCGCGTGCATGCGCGGAATAGGGCAATAACTATCGGCCACTCGAGACAATTTCGTTTCTTCTAAGCGAATAAAAACACCCCTCCCCCCGCCCCGTGAGCCAGCGAATTAAAAATTTAATCCGTTGTCGCTCGGAACTGAACATTCTACGACACCGTTTCCACGGTAGATCGAATTCGCTGTGAATTTTCCATTCCCCTGTGATACATTGTTTTAGGAACTGAATCGTGCCGTTCGTTGTGAATTATGAACGCGACGCGAGTCCGTAAGGCGTGTTCGAAAAAAAAAAAAAATGAATTAAAATCGAAAATAATTCAAACGAATAATTTTCGTTTGCTTTATTACGTAGAGCGGTCCGAATATGTGCTTTGTCTTGTGGGGACATTCAATCTTGGAATAATTTATAAAAATTCCAGTTTGACCGTAAATTCAATTTACATTTGTTTTATAAAGGAATTACGGTGCCAATGAGATAAAACCTCTTTATCGACATTCAGTTATCCAGAATATCGCTTTATGAATAATATAGAAATATCTTGGGTCAACTAAGACACCAGGAAGCCTCGAGTTAAAGCATTGATCCGCATTGTTAAAATTTCCTCTGTATAACGTGCTCGCATACCAACCGCATAGAATACAACGTACCTGCACATCCTTGGTGAAATAGTTGTTCGTGTGCAAGTGTATGGCAGTGAAGTTCCTAGAGTAGTCGAATTCGAAAGTTATTTCAACGGGATGTCCAAGCATACTGGGCGTGTCGTTTCTCCAACCGACCCATTCGTATCCTGGAACAAAAAGGGTACGGTTAGCTATTTCGGAAACTTTGTACGAGACATCGCTAGTAAAAACATTACACGTATGTATTCTTTTATCTAGCTTCATCCAAATTCTATCAGCATCGAAAAGTGACTGTGCGTTCGGTGTACGCTCTGTATTTGATAAAAATCAAACTTTTGACCCCATCAAAGTTTAGTCTGCGGTATTCACGAACTATGACTACCGCTCAAATGTTTTTTTTTTTTTCATTTTTTTTTTTGTATTACGCACACGAATATCTGCGCGATTTCTAGTTGCACGCGAACAGCGGATATTTTCGTTCGCCATTCGGCGAATCCGAAAATTGACAGGTTACGTCGTTGGGATCCGATTACTCCATCGACAACGCGCGTCGATAAACGAGACAATAAAATCTGTAACATAAATAATCCAGCGATTCGCGAGCTACGCCGAAATTTGTTTGCGCGTGGCGCGTACAGCTCGGTGGGCGTTCGCATCAAACGAACAAATTGTTTCAACTGCGAACGCATTTGTTGCAAATTGCGCCGTGGCTCTTTCGACGGGAGTTCCGGGCCAACCTATTTTCGCCCGAACGACAGCTGTTCTTTGAATGTTGCCCTAATTAATTGCCAGCTGAATGTGAAATAGTGGACGTTTCGCGCAATCTGCGACTGCATTGAATCCCGCGGCCTTCTTCGCGAATGGAAAAAGGATGTCCGTTCTGGTATTCCATGGTTCTTTGGTCTTCTCGCCATTCTCGCGGTTCATGAATCATGTGAACGTAGATACGTTAGCGACGAACCGAGGCGGTGAATAATTATAGGTGCGAGGAATCTTTGAATACATTTTCAGGTGAAATAGATTTGGTAACTTTATGTTGTATAAAGTAAATCATTTTTTGCTTTGAGGTATGTGCGATGTTTGAACGACGTGTTGAACAAATTTGTAACATGATATTTATACATATATCAGTTCTCCAAATTAAATTTCTGTGTAAAATAAAAATATTTTTTATGTAAGTAAAAATTTCATATGCTCGAGAGGAACAGCAGAATTCGCGGATATCTTTATTTTTTAGGTGTTGATCGCGTTCCAGTAGTCAAATAACAATCAGCTTTACTGATTAACCAGAGCATCTCCTCCAGTTTCGGGATTAATCGTCGAACTGAAACCAGCCATGTGACTTATACTCTGGTTTACCATTCCAGGTAATTCTCCAAAATTATCCTTGCAGCTAAATCCTGGCTTTTATCGATCCTAGCTGGAAGCACTCGCGAAATATTAATTACGCTTCGAATTAACATTCGGTAGCCCGCTATCCGCCTCCCTCTCGGCTTGTGCGCTGTAGATCTACGTGCCCCAGCCGATCTAGGTGTGTCGGTGTATCCGCTAGAGCAACGAAACATCGTTTAGAGAAGCTGACAACGCCTGTTGTGGAACTTTCACGGTAATCCACTCCGTCTCTCAACGTCGCTCCACGTTAGAGGAGAAAGTATAGCATTCCCTCCACGCCCGTCAATATTTCACTTGTACATTTTTTTCTGAATTGTAATGGCATCGACGGCCCACATATCGACATTTTAAGATGCTCTTATAAACCATTCCCGAGACACACAACAAAACATCACCTTAGATATGTCACTTGGTTCTGGTGATAGCAAACTATGCTCCAGAAAAACGTTCTTCCGTTGGAAGGGGCGAGTTCAACATTGAGCAAACAATTTTTCTTGAGACTTACTTTCTAAGATTCCTAAATAAAAAAGCAAATTCAAATCCTTCAAATAAATTCTACGATACTTGGAAGGCCTCTGGCAATAATCCTAAAACCCAGAGCGCTCCGTTTTTCCAGAAACTGGTCCCCGTTACTTTTCGCGGTCCGTTTCAAATGTTTGCCTTTAAGCTAGACCCTGGCTGCGGTTTTTCGGCCAAACTTTCGCCCGCATGCGCGAATTCGGAAACTCCACCGTTGCCTCGCATTCCCTGGATGAACTGACGGAAGTTAGGCTAACGTCTATAGAGAATGTATCGTAACATGAGGGACCCACTTCGGCGCTGGACACAAATATAATGAATAAAGTTCACATAAACGTGTGCTCCGCTTCAACTTGGTCCTTCCAACTATTCTCAATCATGCTCATAATTAATACAGAAAGTTAAAACTAGCACTTTTGGTTATACATTGTTTCAAATAAATATAATAGACATTTACAGACAGATTCATCAAACTAAACCTTAGTTTTAACCCTTTCCACTCGGGGCCTTTCTTTCTGGTATCTACTACCAACTCGAGATGTCTTTTTAGCATTGTATTGCCACGAATGCTGATCTTAATCAGATCACCTTTACCTCGTCGAGAAATCATTTTATCAACACTTCGAGTCCAAAGAAATTAAACCTAAACAAACATTCTTGTTGATCGATTTACTGCGTCAAACCTAGTGGTGACCGAGAGTCACGTTTCGAGTGCAAAGAGTTAACATCCATTTTTCTGAAAATGAAGCATCCACACCGTTGATGCATTTTAGGTCCTAGATTCCATCAATACCGAGACTATTCGCAATAAACTAGTCTCCTATTCATTATCGCTTTAGGTTTCAATTTCTACTTTACCCTAACACCGCTCCACGAGATCGTGAGAAACTGATACGCAGTATCCTTGCTGGTCTACCTACCACAAATCCGTTCCTTACGCTATAAATCCTGCTTGACTGTATCTCGTGTCCTCGACGAATTCTCCAAGGGAGAGAATGGACGAAAAACGAGGATTCTCGAGGACGCGGAAACAGGGCAGTTCCATCTCGACGTCCTGACGGAGCCGAGGCTGGGCTGTTGCAGCAGACACGGTAAGGGCCATAGAGCTTATTAAAACTTGCGAGAGTTTCCATCGTTCTCCTTCAATTCGGTATATTCTATACCCCTTTGGCTTTGGATTTTCCCGCGACGGTCCCTTCCGCTCCCTCGACAATGTTCGAGACCCGTACGCCCGGCATTATATCGTTCCGATCTATCCGTTTTCATATAAACCCCATCCGTTAATATCGTCCCTCGAGTAAATAGTTTCCAGCTTCCTGTCGTCGCCGCCTCTTGCACGGCCGCTATCTACCATCAATTCAGAACATTCGGAAGGGTCGTAAGATAACCGCCGCCGTAGGTATATCGCGACCAGAGTCTCGAAGCCTGATGATTTTCTCACTTAAACCGTTCTGAAACTATACGACCCCGCATATTCGCGCTCGTAAAGAGCGATGCGCGTCGATCCCACGTTATCGCCTCTTGGAAACGATCTACAGGGATTCCTGTGACTTAAACGGCCCCGATTCTGGACGAGCAAATAGCGTTTCGCTAATGTAGCAGCTGTTCGGTGAAATAAGAATCTTGGGTAGACGTAGTCGGGTGGTGCAAGATTGGAAAATCCAGCAGTCGAGATCCTAGTACATCTTTATATTATGCCTTACGGACTGTTTGCAAATATACAGTCAGTCCCTTAAGTATTACCTACATCTATCGATATACAATTGTCTAATTTAAACGACAGATTTGGTGATTCTAAATAAATGTTTCCAATAAATGAAAAATTTATGCCTGTCATTTATTTTAGACTTTCTTCGATAGACATAGAAGGTACGAATACTTATGGGACTGACTGTAGATGCCATTTCATGTATATCCAACCAAAAACGAGCAATTATACACCTCCTCTTCACAATCGTCTGATTCGAATATCATCGAGCCACCGTGCACAGTTTCGAAGTACCATTTCGCGGACAACGATTAACCGTCTTTCCTGAACTTTAAAGCTACAATGGACAATCGATTAGTCTGTAGAAGTAGCCCGAGCAATGACGAAGTCATGAACACCCGCTTAGTTCAGAAGTTGCAATAATGTTTGAACTATATCAGGTACTCGATCTCCCATTTACTCTTGGCAGCAATATATCAAGCAAACTCATCCAAGAACCGAAGGGAACTCGAAGTACCCAATCCAGCGTAACGATGACGAAGCTTTTCAAGTACGACGAACTACGCGACAATTTCTCTCCATTCCGCGGCGTTTAACTAGTCGCAGCCTAGAACGTATTATTCTGTTACGTAATTCGTACCGATGGTCAATTTTGCAGCGATACACCGATTGTCTTGGATAGTCAAACATCTTATCGCGAAGGGACCCGACCGTTCTGTCGTGCTTGTAATTATCAACAAAACTTATTCGTGCGAAATGAAGCGAAGTGTTCGCTCCTGCGTAACGATGACAAACATCTCCAAGTATCTCGAACTCTCGGACGACGGTAGGGTTGGAAGCACAGTTCGCGACACTCCACCTGGTAGCATGGATAAAGAATGGTTTCGGAAATATTACATTGTTGAATACGCAAAGTTGAATCTTTACGTGGAATCAGTTTTCTTTCCGACTGAAATTTGTTTGATCGGATTAATATTGACTTCGTGATTTTTCGAAGCAAGAAGGTAACCCTTGGAGTTTGATAATCTCTTCCCAATGCAAGAGCAGACGAGGCTCTGATATGACAGCAATTATCTTTCCTTTCTCTGACTGAGTTGCAGGATTCAGGTTTCAATCCTCCTGCAACTCGAAGGATACCACTGTTAATTTGATCTCCTCGCGATGAAATGATATCCACGCTAATAATTCTGTAATTTTTGAAGAAACCACCTTCGCTACGAAAAGAATGTACATCCTCTTGCACTCGGTAGATAAGAACAAATTATCTCCACTCGTTAATTTGGCAAGAATATTCCTTCGAGCTTCTCGGCGGTCGAAATCGAAGCGAATCTCGTAGAAATGAAGGACAGCTAGGCTCGATTGGAAAGAGCTCGAGGAGAGAAGGTTGCACCACGGTTTAAAGAGAGTCGGGAGAGGCAGTACGCAGTCCCGACGGGTTTAAAAGTTTAAGAAGCTGAAAGTACGTAGTTCCGAGTACGCCGGCCTGTCTCGCCGGCGTAAATGGAAAGACACAAATGTATCCTGGGAGCCGGTAAACAGCAGTGTGGCTTGCAGTCTAGCCCGCGGTTCAATATAAATGTAAATTGGAACAGATTCGAGTGCGGCACAGGAACACGTTCGCCTTCGAGAGTCCGAGCTTCTAGCCTGCCGCTAGCTTTCTCGGATTCCCTTATCTCCGACTGGCCTACACACCTGGAATCGGCGCGAGGGAAATTTTATTTTCGTTTTAAACCCTAACCCTGGGAGCCGCGTCGATGAATTCGCCTTACCTCTCCTGGCTGACTCGGTGGATTACAGTCCAGGGACAAAATGGTAGGACACTTCATGTATTGTCAATGAGATTTAATAGATCAATTATTTTAAAACACTGTTGACCGGCAATTTTACGCAGAAGCGACTTTATGTCAGCGGCTACTAGTTCGTAATTTTTATATTACTGAACTACTGAGTTATATAAATCTAAATACTGAGAAAAGTATATTTTATTGTTAAAAAAGAATCAAAAAACGACAGGACAAGCGAAGCTTTTGCAATATTTTATATCGCACCGGGTTTTGTAAATTGAAATATGTAGATAATACAAGTGCAAATAATAATTAAGTCCTATCATTTTGGCTTGGTCTGTAGAGCTTGCGTTCAAGAGCCTTTAAAATTCAATCCTCTTGAACTTCTCAAAGAACTTTCTGAGCTTAAAAATTAAAATTCAATGTTGCACGCGGGATTAATAAACCGAATAGCCTCTTCATTCGATCCCTAAGTTGTTCAATATTTGTTTCAAAACGTTTTAGACCACATTTTCTGGCTGTAATATGAATATTAGGTGTGTGAAATTTACGTGTTTAAAAGACAATTTGTTACTTGTAATCGTATTAAAATCCAGCGGAAGTTCACGGCCACCCAACTTTATCCTTCGTCACTTTGTGTAATCCTCCAGTTGCCAGATCCTTGTTTCCCAAACAGAGAGATAAACTGGCATGGCATTGCAAGTGGAAGTCTTGTCTGACGTGATTCACTGACGGTAAAATGGCCTTGAGGTGCCAGTTAAGTTTACTCCGATATGTACAGTAAACGTACAATGCATATTAATCAACGCGAAATTTATGTATACCGAGTACCGTATTTTCTCAAATCATTCGATGAACAGTCTCTCAGACGTTGTGCAAATCTTTTCCACGGGAACGGCGCACGCAATCTATTCCTTCCGTGAGCTCCTTTGTACGCACTCAATATGTATTAAATTAATCTTGAGAACGGGTTCGATAACGCCTAGCAAATTTAATTCCGCCGGAGAAATGAAAGGCATTTACAATTGAGATTTAATAACACTCTGAGAACCGCTACGAATAATTCGACGAGTATTGTTGCACAAGAGAAAATGTGCTACCATGAGTTCTTCTGATCGTTCTGTTTCACTCCCTCCCTTTTTGTCTTGTTATATCGCATGGTTGGTTGTGTGTACTTCAGAATATCCCATGCTCAATGAAAAGGCTTTGTTTAATAGCTCAACAAGTTCAACCTTTTAAGATTAACTTGACGTTATTGTAACTTAATGTTGTTAGATAAAATAAAATTCATGCATTAAGGAACTAAGAGATGTTTCTCTTGTGCGTGCATATAAAGATTCTCATCTGGTAAAGAACCTTTAAGGGGTCGAAACGCGAAGTTTCAACTTCCAATAACACAAAATCTCACAAATAGAACACGCTCGAACCTGCTATCAGGGGCAGGCTGGATTCACAGCACAGTAAAGTACCTTTCCCCTTACCTTCTTTACGACCCACCGAAATGCCAAATTTCAACGCTCGTCGATGAAGCTTAAAGGAAAGTAAGTATCCGCGAGGAACAGTAAAGTAGGAGAAATAGTCGAGAAAAGATGGAAGCGTAATAGCAGAAGTCGGTCAACGAGCAGATTACTCGCGAACGTATCGCGGACGGCTCTATCACGCTAATCTAGACACGATCGTGGCTCTAGCGCTAATCTCGTTCCAGCACGAAGCAGCTCACCTTTCCCGTTACCACTGACGTCCAATCTGAAGTTGTCAGGACCCTTTTGCCCGTCGACAAGTTGACCGAGCCCCCCCGAGAGGTAACCTCCTTCCTCCCTGCCGTCGTACGTCCTGTCTGAAAGGTCAACCTCCGAACCCCTCTTAATTCCTTGGGGCATGGAATACGACACCAGACCCTCTGCAACAAGAACGAAACGGTCGTGAAACGGTGTAAGGTGCATGTAAGGCGGTACGCTCGTGAACTATGCATCATCGCGGCCCGTACGTGGCGATGGGACGGACATTTTATTCCCAACGATACGTGATAAGATTGCGCCCTGGTCGACGGATAAAGTGCACGTCCCCAGGAGAAGATGCGACCGGAAAGTTTTAAATCCCGGCGTCTCGACGCCTGGCCGCCTCGATTACCTGTTGTCCGAGTGTAGCTCGTTCCTGTATAATTTATGAAGGTAGTAACGGATACCTCGTAAGGGCGGCCAGGTATTAATAGGCGGCATATACGGAATTTAATAAATAAAACCTTACTTTCTCTTTATTCTTCGATGATATGGATACTGCGAATGGGAATTTTTCTCTGTAATATTTAGAGATATTTTATATTCTCTATTTTCAACCTAGATCAACCTATTATATGGTATAGCTTATGTTGAATGTCAAATATTTTATTGTTTTATTTAACAAAACGCGAGATTTCTTCGCGCCAATTCGGAAAAAAATGGAAATATTTTTGCACACCCGAAAAATGAACGTTTTCAGCAGTTTTGCGAGAAATACCAATATTGGACAAAGTGACAGGAATCTCGCTGGGAATTATTTTTTAAAAGTAAAAATAACGATCACCCGACCCAACGACTGTTTTCTATTATTCGTTTAAAGAATGATTTCCTATGAAAACTGTCCGCAGAAGCGTGTCGTAATTTTATCTTTATAGATCTTCATCAACGCCACGACGATACCCAATAAAAGGCTACCATTTTACTTCGCCTGGTCCCGAGGGAAATACGGAAAATGATTTATTGGATGGCCGAAGGACTGCTGCAAGAACTGACAGACGTCACCGAAGACGAACGCGGTACAAGTTTTAACACTTTGGGAATAAAATGGCTGCGCTCATTCCGATGCGGTTTTAATGCTCGATGAACAACGCACTAAAATTTAATCGACAGATGTCGGAGGGAAATTGAAAATCCGATGGTATTAAATTCGTCTTTCGCGCGAATGACAGGCGAAAAGGACGGAAACGTCCTCTTGGATTAAGAGGATCTGCTGAAAAACGGGACTGACTCGTTTCGTGTTATTTTCCGTTCTGTGTGAAGGGTACGCTTTAATACAATAGAAGGTTGCACAGAATGAAGTATCCTATCTTTTAAGTAGTCTGTACACTTTTTATGCATGGAATAGTTTCTTTTACGAGGAATTTTATGGCTTTGGGGGTGGAAGTAAACTTTTTCCTTTCCGAACTTCGAAGAAGTTGCTATATCGAATTTTCTTCCTCCAACAGACAAAAAGTAATGTTACATAAATTTTGTTTGTCGTAGATCAAAATCAGAGTAACTACGTCCTCTGTAATATAATATGCCAAAATACACCCAGAATGAATAAGAATTTTAACTTGAACGAAAAAATACATAACATAGATCAGAATTCATATAATTGAGAAAAAATACATACAGTGCATAGTATACTTTCCAACGGGATCAAATAATATTTTTCGAGAACATTGAATTTCGATTTGACCCACGAAAATGGCAATTTCACCCGGCGCGATTAATAATTTCCACCGATTTCGAATACAATGGTACATCAGAGTTTTGTATTTCGTTACAGTAATTGCTCGGTCGCCGTAACAGAATTGAATATACAAAATCGTTTACGGTGCGCCGTTGTTATCCTCGGGAACAGCGTCGAAATGGGAACAGCGTTCATTCGATAATTCGAGCACCTTTTCGAGCGACCATGATCGTTCGGCACGGGTACACACAGCGGGTAGAGTGCGACGCTTCGATGCAAACGGGACAATTCGATAATGGAAAACAAACATCCTCGATGTAAATATTTCTTACCGGGCGTAAGCAATTACGAGCACCATCGACACCGTGCAGCACCGTGTATCGATACTTATAACCGTGAATTCGAGCAACGACTATGCTCTGCTCGAGCCTCCAGCCTATGCTCTGCTCGCTGAATCGTTTCGGGGTCAGATTAACGCAAACATACCTGCACACTCCCTTTCGAGTGGTTTCCGCTCGTAAATCTGCGTTAATGCCAGGCCTCGAACAGGCCAAAGTTGTTGCGCTTCGATCGCTGTTTAAGAATCTGTATCGAGGCCGACGATAAAAGAGGAAAATGTCCACGAAACGAAGCATCTAGACAATTGTTATTGCTGGCAGTTCCAGTCTTTATTACAAGATTAAAATTCTGCAGCGACTACTTGGCCCTTAGTGTAGGGTTCCATCTAAACTCTTAAGTGATTTTCGTAATTTTTCCTTGAAGAAAGCAGTGAGATATATGATAAAAGAACTAGATGAGAAATTTGATCGAAATAAGAATGATTTAATGCATTTAATTACGTAGAATAATTACTGACGATTAATGAATAACTATTTTAATAATTTGCGAACATGTAAATCAACAAGTACTGTGATGGTTGAATACGTAAACATTATTAAATTACTAATATTTATTCATAATTTTAGCGAATACTGCTGCGTTCCAATGTGTAAATATCGTAGCAAATTAAGTGTAAAATGTATAATATGTTTCAAATTATTAACCCGATAATTACACGTTACTCGAAATTGCAGCAAATTGACTGATTATAAATATCAACCGAGTAAATACTACGTTTATGAACTCGGAAAATATTAAATGTCGCAAAGCTTTTAATATTCATCGGCATATTTCGAGACGTAAAATGATGACAGTTAGTTAAAAACTTGGGAAGAGACGTAATAAGCAGGTTTTCGGTATTTTTACCCGAATTTATTCGAGATTCCTTCCAAGAGAAACGAAACGTTAAATTTTGAGTTTGAAGCCGACGACACGAAGCCATTTTTAGATTCTGAAGGTACGAAAGTAAAAGATATGGTCACCGGCACGTCGACGCGTCTCCAAGCTATAATAAGTCTCTCGATTCGAGAAAATGAAAAATTGCGACGGGGGCGATAAAAATGCGCGAAACTATTGCGTCGTCCTTTTCAATACTTAGCGGCGGACGCTTTGTCACGAATAAGCACGATATCGTGATGTACGGACAGAAAGATGAGTGGCCATAAATTTCACTCACCGGTCCATGGACAGCCATAAAGCTCCACCCGTAAGCATACCATGCGCATGTGGGAGGTGTAAGGGATGAAACGGACCTTTGTAGCCACGATCGCCGGGTCGAAGATCTGCTTTTCCTCTGTGTAAGGATTATTGTTGCCCGCTAGAAGCTGCAAAGACGAAATCGTTTTTTGTTAGATCGCGAGGTACAGGGCAACGTGTTGCAATAAAAAAACAGTAAGAAAATGTTGAATTCACGGTGCCATTTCATTCTGTTACAAGTTTCAATATTTTAAAGTAGGTATTGGCCTTACTATTTTAAAACTATTAGATCGTCCCATAAAGTTCATGCTACTTATTCTTCTGCTACTCAAATTAATATATGAAACATATCCTTAAGTGTTATAAGAAAAGGTAGTCTCTCTCGTTTTACGATATTTTCCCACCTTTTTGACAGTCATTATTTCGTCACCATAAAATTTCTGTAGTTTTTTCATTAAATATTGACTCAGTCTGCAGTACTTATGGGATGACCTAACAGTATTAGAATTATCAATTTAACGAATGACCCATAAAAGGAAAACACAAAGTTAACAATATAATGATAAGTCCAAATCTACGCCCTGCTTAAACGTAACCACGCCAATATCACTCTAAACTTCCTCAATAAGCAATTCCATAAAAACTGACACCCTTATCGACGTTTCTCAACCTAGTCAGACTGGTTCAGAAGTTCAATCTCCGTTCCAGCAAGACGAGATTAGATGAAAAAAAACCGTGGACTTGCAACGAATCGAGATTGAAGCATGCTCGGTAGTTGGGAAGTTCGACAAACGAGAAAAGGAAGAGGCTGCTCCGACGAAGGAGTCACAGGCACCGTCGACCGCGCAGACGACGGTCTCGTTAAGCTCCGACCGCAGGCAGAGCATCGGGATTGGTCATTGGAACGTGTTTACAGCGTTAAGAACGAATCTCACGGCTCTGGGGCACCATTTTCCGTATCCGATTAGTAAACAACAGCTCGCCGAGAAGCTCTTCTAAATGTAAATGCCAGCGTTAAATCTGGATGAAAGCAGCGCTCGTCGTTCGCTTCTCTCGTTCCTGTCTCCCTCGTTCGAGAATCGATTCCCATACCTGCCACGTCGTCGCCTCGCAGAAGGATACGGGGCATCCTGGCTGAAATATGAACGCTTGCGGTCGAGAATCGAACCGCGAACGACGAATGTTAGGGCTCGCCTTGGGGGACTACACTCATCTAGGACAAGCCAGAGCCAGAAGGACTTTGTGAATTTTATGAGGGTGGAGAATTTGCTTGCATTAAGAAGTCGGTATGTACGTGACAAACTTTATAAATGTATTTGTTGATTCTGTGAGTTTCATTTGAAAACTAGTAAAACTGGAAGTGTTGAGGCCATATTCGTAAAATGAGTTTTCGAGAAGACAAAATATTGTCTAGTGACCCTGCTCGATTATATCGCTGCCATAAAAACTTTTGCATTACGTGTGAATATCGTGAAATATCGAAACTTTGAACATCCTAGAAAATGAAACATTGTGGTTAGAACCTGAATATTCTTGGTACTTGATCTTTACATGCCTTTCGCTCCAAATACGGTTCGCTGTGTTTCGCGCCCTACACGCGATTCCGTGCTCGCATGTGAAAAGCAAACGTTACGTCGACGAGCGCTTTTGCAGATGATCGGGCTAGTGGGTTTCGTTTGCGTTTCCGTCGGATTAGAATTTCTAACCGGGTATTCGTTACTCGATCTGAAAAATATGAGGCCTGCAATTCGATCGGTCTCGCATTTCCTGCTTGGAAAGCTTCGGTGTCTGGCGAGGCTCTATTACTTTGAGGCTGGTAACGGGATATATGAATATTCCCGGTACTTTAATCTTGCATCGAACATTTTCGTATTGTTGATTTAGTCCCTCTCCTGAGGCGTTCTGTGGCATGCATAGAGGATCCTGTGGATTATTATTATTGTTGTACCAATCGTATGCGGTTTACACAGCACTGTTTCTGCTAATCTTAATATAATTTTTACACTTTAGTCAGGTATCATCGACCATCACACTAGTCTAAATCTGTTTTTGATAGTGTATCGATTTTTCATATATTTCCATGTTTTATATTAGAAGATTCCTATGAATTCGTTGCAACTCTCAAAAATAAATAAAGAAACAGAGAGAAACCTTTATGAAAAAAATTCATAATTTCGATTTTTAATAAGCAATACTCTAACTCTACCGTCTACTTTGGTCTCTACCGTCGACATTTGAGTACGAGCTGTAGGGATTGATACGGCGCGGCGGTTCTCGAGGACGAATTTTCGCGAGGACTTTCTCACACGTCGATCGGAAAATTTTCTGAGCGTCGTGTGTTGTCGGCATCTTGGCCGATATATTAAATGGATTCGTGCCGTTTCCATGAAATCGTACGATGCGCTTCTCGCGGCAGGGAGGCGGGAGAATTTCGTGTCGCTTTATCCGCGCGAGAGTGCGTATCGCCCCCGACCATCAACGACAAAGCTGCAATCGCGTCCTCGAGCCAGATATCGTTGCGAAAAAGGATCGTTCGAGGATACCAGTCGTACCGGAAACGCTGAATCAAGACTGTCGCCATTTCCTCGGATACCGCGTCATGGGGAAGTCAGGAGAATAAATTCGAGGGCTCGTGGGAAAATAAATTCCCAGATATTCGCGAGCACTACGTTCGGAACGTATTTGGTCCTTAATATTTTAATAAAATATACTCGCTATCAGTACGATTGGTGATCTTTTCAATCGTCATTATCTTGAAACTACAGTATTTTTTTTTTTATTAGTATTCTTAGTTCTCAACTTTGCACGGAATTTGAAATTAACTCAATAATTTTATAATCATCGCAATAATCACTCGTAACTAGACGACCAAAACTAACGCCACAGGTGACCAGGCCCGCGTGGAAATTCAGACTAAATGTGGTTGACATTGCATTCAACGTGTTAATGACCGACCGCAACTCCAAAACCTCTACCTGTTAAGTTTGACGTCGACGCAAAGAAATCTTCGTGGAAAGTGATTGGAATAGATCGGTAAAAGTGATCAGGACTACTACTGTTCCATTCAATTCTCACTTGGAGAGCTGAATATCAAGTACTGCGTTGACCTGGAACTCAATACCTATAACTCCAGGTTCACCAGACACGATGTCCACGACTCAGGGTCATAGGATCCAATATCGAGCCACTCGGGTCGCAGAAGCCAACACTGGCGAACCAGGGGTCACGGGATCCAATATCGACGACTCCCGTCGCGAAGGCAGATTTCCGCTACTTCGTGGGGGTGAGGGGACGCAATTGACTACAGGAGATCCCCATGGGGGTCGAGCGTCGATGAGCACGGAAATCGAGTCTTCTAACTCAGGTGTCATTGACTTTGGTCTTCTGGATCACGAAGAGATTATTGAATCTATCCTACATGGGACAATCTTAGTTTAGAGGTACTCCACAGTGGATCTCATCGTCCTGGAATTTATCCTGACTAGGTTAGTCACTAATCAGAAACGATTTATTCGTGAGAAGGATTATTTGATGCAAAAGTGTGAACTCCTTCATTACAAACTCTTTGAAAAATGCATGAAACTACCCCAAGAAGAATTGCCTATTAAAAGCAAATAGCTACCGCCAGAATCCCCCAGGAGTAAAACAATAAATCGAGTTTAACGAGGGCCTCCTTTTCTCAACCCCAGTATCTCAACTTCCTCGCCTTTCCAAACGTGAATTTTGGCTTTTCTCGCACAAAAGGTCTCAACCCTGGCCCGACAAGATTCAACGTAGTCCTGTCCACGGGATGGAAGTAGATTGTTCGCAGGGAACAAGATCCGTCTTACCTGTGTCAAGCCCAACAACGGGAACGTGCCCGATTCACGCTAATCAATCGTCGTTCGAGTTAGCACGGCGCCGTAGCTACAGTGGGACTGACGCGAACTTAATGCAGCAAAGGGTACAGAGAGGGCAGGGCAGCTGTAAACGGGCCACCGAGTTGTAAACGGCACGCAAATGGAACGCGTCCCCTTAAATCGTGCCCGCGTACGACGAGGGCGGAGGCGGACGAGGTTATATCGGCTGGCTCGGAACGACCGACCGCGGATGCATTACAACTGCAACTGCAACGCGCAGGAATACAAGCCAGCAGCCCGGGGTATACGCGATAGGAATAATTAATACAGCCATAAACAAGACCCGGGTTGGGGGTGGCGGTGGCCAGCCCGATATCGTCCTACCGACACATAAAATTGATATCCGTGCTTGAAGGAGGGAGGATCATTCTGGAGGGAACCCATATATCCCGTCACTCGGATAGATCGCTCCTGTGCCCCTGGCAGTGGGATAGGGTGGCAATTGTACGGAGATTCCCTCTGCATTTTACTGGGTATTTATGACTTCGTTTATCGTGATTATCCGTGTTGTAAGTCGACATCAAGGTTCTATCACAGATCACCACAAAGTGAAGTTCGTAGTACATCCACAACTTCTGAGGGGAATAAAGACTCTGTTTTCGTTTCTATCTCCTTTCTGTTTTCTTTCTCTGCTTTATCAAAAACACCTCGTACTGACTATCAATCGTGAATCTGTAGAAGATGGTTTTCGTGATCGCAAATGCTTTGACTAATTTTTCGGAAATCTAATTTCTCGACAGATCGGAAACGCAGTCGAATTATCCGTCAATCCGATACAGGTACACTACCTCGAGGGCATAACAAACCTGTCGCAACCGAAAATTGTCAGTGGATCCTTCGAGCTGAACGGATCTCGTGACGTCGGATATATCTCTAGGCTATCCCTGGACACTCTATGCTCCTCCTGACCCTCCGTTGACTACTGCTGACTATTGCAGACCGCTGTTGACCCTAGCTGACTACTACTGGCCAGTGCCAATCACTAATGAGCACTTTCCCAACCTCACAGACATGTGATCCATTTTATTAATTTGTCTAATTCTCGTTTAACTTTATTCAACATCTATTTTTGTAGTATTATATCTTCATCCTCCTTAGATAAGTTTTGCATGAACGAGACACTACCACTGATTGTTTTCAACTTCTATTTCGTAACTATTTCACAACCATCTTTGTCACGATATATTATATTTAAGAATTTCTGCAATCTATAATGAGATTATAGTTTC